ACCGATACCATTGCTCAGAGGGCTGAAGCCTTTAGACCAGGGCTCCTGGCTTGGACACAAACTGGGTCCAGGTGGAGGTGCCGGCACCTCGGAAGCGCTGACTCCAGCTGAAACCTCTGAAGTTTGTGGCTGTTGGGATTTGGATCTACAGCTTGGAAACTCCCTCTGAGATCAGACCACGTGCCAGACCAACGTGGAAGTGCCCCGATGGCTCAGGCAGGATCTGAATCACGACAGTCTCTTCTGTAGAAATACAGATTTACTACAAAGACCCAAACCCGACGGTGCTTGCACAGCTCAGATCCTGTCTGGCTCGCACCCAAAACACAGTCTGAATCCAGTGACCAGACAGGGACCCAGGCACAATAACACCTGAACTGAAAGCGCAGGCACTGAAACCTCCAAACTCTTTCAATAAAATTGTTTTGGGGAAAACCAAAGCTTTTGGAAGGCGAGGTGGTGTTAGGGCAGGAAGCACCCTTGATTTCTAGCAGGATGCTAGGAGAAAATGCACATCTCCCGATGTGATCCTCTCTGTGAGGAATGAAATCAGCACCAAGCTTCCAGCAAGGAGCTATCCCTTCTCCTACTGCGGGCTTCAGCATTAGGAAATTAAAAACTATGAACAGATGAGTACTGAATAGGTTTATTTGGGTACAAATGAGTTCTAAATCTTTCATTGAATGGGTGAGTACCTGGTCTTACAAACCACGACAGGGGATTTAACGGGGAGCAGATGATTGAAACTCCAGCTCAGGAACACAAGGCAGACTTGTCTCACAGACCTCATCCCCTGGCTGGAGCCTGCACGCTGCAGAAAGCTCTCTAAAGAGAGGGGAGGAAAAAAAAAAAAAAGCTCCCTTTCGGAGGGCCCCCAGCTTCCTCATGGCCTCAGAGGCCCAAGCTATGGAGCATCAACGAGGAACGAGTTAATTCTAAATTAAAAAAGTAGATAGGGAAGATTACATTGAGATGTTGGTTTCAATAACCGGGCTCCTTCCTTACGCCAGAAATCCTGAATTGCCGTATTTCTGCAGCAGCAACCTCTCTGGGTGGCATTCCATTATTTATGAGTAATGCAATCCGCGTTTTCTAAGCATTCCTGCTCGCAATTTAGGCTCCTCTTTTTCCTTTTACCAGCCTCAGATAATAAGGCGTGTTAAAACCCATCAAAAGCCAACGTTTTGACGCCACTCGCAGCGATAGCCACGCGCGCCGACCTGTTCCACCACAGCACAGGTACAGGAGGCACAGCGAAGCGTCCTGGAAGCATTTACGAGATAACAAACGCTTAGAAACTCCTGCTAAAAAAAAATAAATCTAAGGGAAGAGAGCGTCTAGCTCCAAGAAGCTGCTCATCTGTGCTGCGTGGTCGCAGCCATGGGCTGGAGGAGGAGGGAGAGTGCCAGGACCCCGCCAGCGCGGTGCCACCGCATCCCGAAGGCGCTGGGGTTTTGTCTTCCCATTTTCCTATTTATTGGTTTGATTATTACAGTCCCTAACTTCAAAATTGCTATTACTGAGCAGGAGAAACACGCTGCCCACCACCTCGGGCTCACATTTGAGCCGCCTGCAGTTCCCTTTCCCCAGTTTTCTGCCCAAATAATACCGGAGAGCAGCGCGGCAGAGCTGAGGCACGCGGGACAGCGCCAGATTTTGAACCATGCTACCAGAAAATAAAAATACATTTTTACAGTCCCCGAGCAAAACTCCTTGAAACGTTAAGGCTAAAATTACTCAACATCCCTTCGAAGTTTCGCATGCGAGCAGAATGAAAAGCAAGAAATGACTGACTAACCTCACCGTCTGCAGAAAAACGGTACAAAGGAAGGAGAAGCTGTGCCTGAAGAACACTAAGAACCAAGCCGGTTTGTCTCCAGGAATAACCCTTTAATTAAGAGGTGAATGCTTCCCGTGACAGTTGGGTTATACAACCCTTTCTAATGTAAAAGGAAAAGGAAAGAAAAAGTTCTCGAGATCTCTGATCACCCGGCAAGCCACCCCGCTGCCTCGCAGCACCTCCGGCACGCGTTGAAGCGAGGTGTTGAGAAGCTCCCAGGCCTTAAAGTCCTGTTGGTTTTTTAATTTATCTGGGAAATGAGCTCAAGAAGTGCCCTGACACTTAAACCACGGAGGAAAAAGATTTGTGGAGCTCATGCTCTGATTCCAACAGCTTCCCCTGCAATTCCTCAGAGGCGAGGCTCCTCTGTAACTCCCATCGCACGCGCTCTGCTCCGAGGAAGAGTAACTTTGCAAGGCACTTATGATTCATTCCCCTGCTCTCCTCTACTCCACCCACAAGCATGCAGCTTTTCACGGTCCTCCCAAGTCGCCAGGCTTCACGCAGCGAGAAAACACCCAGTTCTCAGAGCTGGGACTGCCCAAAGTTGGGAGAGGAAAGCCACCAGGCGATGGGAGACGTCCACAGGGCTTCACTGGAAACGGAGCGGAGTCAGAAACCGGCAGATTTAACACAAAAGCTTTGAATTTTGGAGGAAGGAGCAACAAAGTGTGAGCGGGGAGGGAGGCAGGGCTCGAGTCCTCGGGCTCGTTATGCCACAGGGTGCTGGCGATGCCATGGCAGCAGGGGTGCAATGCACGCAGCTGCCTTGGGGAGGTTCACAACGCTCCTCTGCTGGAAGCGCGACGCGACGCCCGACGCCGAATCCAGCTCTCTCTTAGAGCTCTTTTCACTTCCCTTCACCTCTCCACAGCCAAGTTTATTGCTGCTACTCCACCGTTTACTTGATTTCACCACAAACGGCACCCCGAGCAGCTGCAGCCGCAGCCTGCCCCTGCTGTAAGCCACTTTTAAGCATTATTTAGTCTGGAAGAGGCGACACTTTCCAGATTTCCGAGGCTATGCTCATCACACAGACAGGAAGCTGCCCACAGCCCCGCTTATCTTACACCACCCTTACTCCAGGAATACTCACAGCCCTGTGTTTTCCCCCTTCGTGTCTTATTTCCCCTCCACACAGGGAGGAGAAGGACACAACATTTCAGTGCCCTCCTCCCCTAGGAGAGGGAACTTTAACCCCTCTGTGCTCAGTCACGCACGGTTTATGTCCTCTGGGGTCTGGCGGCCAGGAGGTTCCCTCAGACCTTAACGAAGCACAAAACCTTTCCCTCATTATGGGGCAGACACGGAGAGAAACGTCCCTCGTGCTGAGCACAACACCCAGCAGACCAGGCTCACCAGGAGGAGCTGCCTCATGGTTGTAGCACCTTGCTAAAACCCAGCACGTTGCAGCCTTCCAGCAGGAAAAGTCATCGGAAAGAAAAAACTGAGACATTTGTGCTGTACTCTGGTAAATCCCTATCCTGAGATGAGTCGAATGATACCCGGTTATCATTAAAGCTTGCTTAACGCACACAGATAATTAGCACAGCACCTGAATTCTGCCAACACCCTGCTCCTTCCTCAAGCAGTTCCGAATCCATTCACGCGAGCTCGTTAAGCGAGGAGCAGTTTAGATTTTAAGCTTTTTGGGGCCAAATCCATCCTCAATCCCAACCTCTGCCTAAACGCCAAAGCTCCCTGCGCCGAAGGGATGAACACACGGGTCCTGCTCAGGCAGCTTCAGCCCCATGCAGCTGCTGCCGTGCCCTTTGCCAGCCCAGCCCCGGGCTCGGGGAGCTGGAGGCTGCCGGTAACGCGAGGCAGAAATCCTCCAAGCACGTTTCGGAGCCGGTTGAGGCGCTGGCAGCAGGTGTTTTGGGTGTGTTTAGAGCATTTTGGGGATGCTCCATTGGGGGGCTTTCCGTGGCAGAAGGCCCGGTGGCTGAGGGAGAGCTCCGGGATCCACCCTCACGTCCCAAAGCACCACAGCTCCGTGCGGGGAGCCTCCCGGTGCGGGGACCCTCAGGATTTTGGGGGTGCAGCCACCGGGAACGGCCTCAGCTCGGTGTGCCCGGTGACCCCCCCCCACCCCTCCCATTCCTCGGTGCCACCCGAACCCAGCTCCCGGCACAGCACGGCGTTATGCAAGGCGGCCGCACTGCCGCGGGGCCGGCCCGTTACGAAACGCCCCAAAAACACCGGGGGGGGGACCGGGAGGGGGTCCTCAATGCCCCCCACACCGGGCCCGGTACCCCCCCACCGGGCCCAGCTCCCCCCCACGGGGCCCGGTACCCCCTTCAGGACCCGGTACGCCCCTCAAGGCCCCCCCGGGTACCCCGAAACCACCGAGGAGCTACTGAGGGGGGTCCCTATTACCCCCACACCGAGCCCGGTACCCCCCTACCGGGCCCGGTCCCCCCCCCCCTCAGGGCCCGGTGCCCCTCACCTGCGCTGCCGATTTCCATGCATGGAGCTGGGCGCAGCCGCTGGGGGCTGCGGGCTGGGGAGGCCCCGGGGCGATGCTGGGCGGCGGCGGCGACGGTAACAGCGGTAACGGCGGTGACCCGGCGGCGGTGGTGGCGGCGGTGGAGGCCCGGCCTCCCGTCCCGTGCCGTCCCCTCCCGGCCGAGGCCCACCCGCTCGGCGGAGGCCGCAGGCCGCGGCCCGGCCCCCCCCCGCCCCTCCCGGCCCGGCCCCGGCCCCGCCCCGCCGGAAGTTGCGTGGCCGCCCCCGCAGCCCCCCCCCCCCCGGGCTCGCGCCTGGCGCTGGGGCCGCCGCCGCCGTTCGGCTCCGTTCGGCTCCGCTCGGCCCCCGCCGCCGGAAGTCCCGCCCCCAGCGCTCGGCTCCTTCCTGGCGCGGGGGGGGGGGAACGCGGAAGTGGGGAGGAGGGGGCGGTTGCTAGGCAACGGCGGGGGGGGCCCTGAGGGGGCCCTGAGGGGGCCCTGAGGTGGATCCGGCCCCGCTCGTTGTCCCCTCAGGCGGCTCCGTTTGTCCCCTCGTTGTCCCTCCTGCTCCCTGCGAGCCCCCCGGTAGCCGCTCGAGGGGTTCCAGTGCCTCAGGGGGTGCAGCCACGGTTCCTTTGGGCATGGAGGGGACAGGGAGGGGGGTGTCACCAGCCCCCATCCTACAAACCTACATCCTATAAACCTCCATCCCACAAACCCGCACCCTACAAACCCCCACCCTACAAACCTCGGTCCCCCACAGCTTATATGTACCTGCGGGGACTGTGCAGAGACCATGCGGCCAATAATTTCGACGTTTTTGGAGAGGTTCCCAGTGGTGGGCAAGGGGTAAGGGGCATAAAGCAAACCTCAGGAGGTTTCGTCAGCATCTGAGGGAGTTTGTTACAATTATGGTGACAGCGCTGGGGAAGGTTGCCCTGAGAGGAGCTGTGGGGTCTCCAGTGCCCAAACACAGAGGACAAGGCACAAAACTGCTCCGTAGACACGGTTAAAGGCATCTGCAGCCATCCCAGGAGCCTTTCACGCAGCCTCCTTTCTCAGGGAGTGACAGGTAAAGATGTCTTACAAACACACAGTCAACTGTCTAAAAACTAACACCTGATAAACACACGTTATCCCTCGACATCCCCGTAACAACCAAAGGATTGACACCAGCCTTGTGTTTGTTTTTCCAGTTTGCAGAGGAGCGACCAGACTCTAAGTAGCTCGGGTTGAGGAGAATAAAGGCTCTGATTCACTAGATCTGCATGAATTCAGAGCGTACGTCTGCCCTCTCCTCGATTTTTGGCAGTGTTTTTAACAATGTTTAGTACCGCTTTGTTGTAGATTTGCTACACAAACTGTCACCAGAAGAAATGCAGAGGGTGAAACAAGCAAAACAATTGTGTGCGTGTGGCAAAGTGACTCAGACGTACCAGTTCCAGCGTGGGGTCAGGCCGTGGCACCCTCATCTCTATTTTCTCTTCCCCAAAACGCTTCTTTGATAAGAATCATACACGAATAAGAGGAGTGCAGTGAAGCTATCCAAGCATCTTTGAACCTGCAGCTTATTCTGGAGGAAGGATGTCAGCTTTCCTGCTGGTGAGGGGCATTTTCCAGCTACGCAGCTGCGGAGGTAGCAGCAGGGAAGCTGCACCGTCGGAGCAGCAGAGCAGAAGCTTGAGATTCAAGATCCGGGCTTCACATACATTATTAAGAACTGCTGTTCCAGGGACTGCTATCTAAATTAGTCTTAAAAGCGTAAATTTAGTTATCAGAGAAGTTACGTTGTAAAGATTCTAAAAAACCTGGAAATTAAAAGTAAGCTACTAGAATATTTCCTTAATTGTATTCCTGAGAGGGAAGAGGAAACGCGATCACCAAGATCAAGCAGATATACCCAAGGCAGACATCTCCACAGAACGTGGGCACCTCAGAGCCGTGCGAGCACTTCTGATGCTGCAGCTTAGGCCACTGTAACCAGAACCGAGGGCTGGGGCTCAGATGCCAACCTAACATTTGAAACCAAGGAGCCCGATCCATTTTCCAGGACTTCAGACCCAGCCTCACAAGGCACAATTTTCTGTTACACCTCTCTTTCTCACATACGGTCCCCCTGAAGCTGCAAAAGAAGATTTTTCTGATACATTTTTTTTTTTAGTGATATAACATTAAAAGCAGCAGAAGGTGTGCCGAATCTATAGAGATGCTCAGTTCGGTGTTCTGCATGCTAACAGTTTAAGTAAATTAGCTGAGTATCTGCATGCCATTAGCAACTCCCTCCTTAAAATCACTTAGCATTATTCAAAAATCCACACTTACAGCTCAACTGCTAAATAATTCAGTCTCTAAAGGTACGTCAATACGTGCTTGTAAGGTAGAGCCCAAACTAATCCACAGAATTCAGTGGATGGCCGGCAGCCTCCAGTTTTGTACCCCAGGACAGACACCTGAGCTACTGTTGTGGGTTTGCAGAGGACCGTGGAGTCTGCAAAGAACTCTGAAGCTGGGAAATGTAAAGTATTACAAGGTAGAGAAACACGGAGATCAAAGCTTAACCTCAATCCAAACGGAGTCTGAAATTCGTCCTTAAAGCATCTGAGAGCCAGTGGGCAACAAGCCGTGCAGATTCACAGCAGACGGCCATTGGAAACGTCTGGCCACAACTCACTTAAACAGAAAAGGCTGAAACAATCTCACAAGTGCAGGAGCTGGCTGCTCCACAAATCAAACCACCACAAAGTCTGCAAATAGCGGAAACGCGATGTGTAAACGCGCACAGGAGTAGTCGATAGCAGGGGGCCGTTGGAACGGGGAACAAAAGGTACAGGTGAAAATGTAAGCAGCCGTTTTAAATCAGGTTTTGGATTTGAGTCAAGACAGATCCAGAAGAAAGGTCTGCTTTAACATTGCCCGTCTCAAAACCACTCAAGTCATGCTAAGGTAGCAAGGCCAGGCAGCTGGAGGGGCGGCAGCTTTTGATGTACGCTTGTGCCATTTAATAACCGAAGGAGCTCAAATTAAGTCAGTTCTCATGAATGATATTTTAATGAAAAAGTGGGACTTGCCCATCATATTCCAAGGAGCTTTAAGCATATTACTTGTTCGCTTAAGTGTTTCTCTCATCAAACAGAAACAAGCTGGAAAGAGAGGAGGTTTGGATCCTCCACAATATCTGATGCAATCCAGCTACAGTCAGCATTTCACTGTTCGTTCCCAAGCCCTCCTCCCGTGAACTGCCAGGACTGAGCATGGAAGCTTCTTCCTTCCCCACGCGAGCTGACTCAGGAGTGTCACCCCAACATAGTCACATTGCTTTTATTTAGGTCTTCTGCCAACAGTTACAGGGTAACAGACACTTGGGACTGCAAAGTCAAAGTTGCAAGCAAAAATCAGGACCGAGGCAAAAAAAAATAATAATAAAAAAAATAAAAATCCACAAAAGCAATCAAATCAAATATAAATACAATGTTCTGGAGCTCTTTAATCATACCGTTTTCTTTAATAAAGAGGTGGTTACGATCTTACAGTATTTTCTTTTGGCCTAATCCAAGGATTTTGTTACTCTTTACCAGTCTTAATTCCACGCATACAAAAAAAAAAAGTTGATATTCAACCTTTAAAATATAAGCCATATTTTCTTAATAAAATAAGTTTTGTGCTGCTGCTTGTTTAGTAAGTACTGTACATCAACTGTTCACGTCTATTTAACAAATGGACCAGACAGAGTTCAAGCTAAAGCAAAAAAAAACAAAACAAAACAAAAAAAAAACAAACACAAGAAAAATAACCCAAACAGAGTGTCTTGTCAACACCCTGTGTACAGTCCAACACTTGCTCGTATAAAGGAGGTACGAAAGGGGCTAGAATTGAACACAAAAGCACTGGAGTCCCCATCAATTTTCTTTCACAACTATTGAAGTGCAAATCACTCAGGCAAGATATGAATTTCACTCGTTTATTGCTGTCCAGAGCTGTCTGGCTTCCCTTGCTGAAAGAATGACATTCTTTTATTTCGTTAACTAATTTTCCAAGAAGAAAACTTTCCACGAGGCAACGCTGACCACTCGGGCTTTGTGACACCAGGCAGCAGGTCAGAGGCTTGCAAGCACCAGAACCCCCCCCGACTGCCCTGGAAGCTCTGGGGCGAGGGCTGCTCTGCCCTCGCGCCCCCGTTTACGTTCCGATAGGAGATCAGGGAAAACAAACAGCATTCAACAACTGACGGGTAAATGAAAGCGATTCCTCTTCCCACAGGACCGCATGCACTTGGCGATGGTTCCAGTCGCTGAAGGAACACGTGCGCACTGAGAAGGCAGAGACTCGGGAGCCGTTGGGGATGTTCACGTGGAGGTTGCGGCTAACTACAAGTCCTGATATGTAGCTGGGTTAACACCTATCCGCTAGGGGTACCAAAATGCACAGCACCTCAACATGCAGTTTTTCACTTGCATCTTGGACAAGAAAAGGGTAGAAATATCGAATGCTGGAGCCGCGCAGAAGGTACAGTGCATAGTCCGTTATAGAAAACATGCGGGTAACTCAAACCCCTTCTAAATTTCTTCAAAGTGGAAATAGGGTTTAAAGGGCACAGCAGCTACTAGTTTGGCTTTTTTTGTATTTATTCAAAACCATGAAAACCCAACGCAGAGGGTGAAATAAGGGCAGAACATGATCTGCAAGTCAACAGCTGAGAGTTTCAGAAGCTGTGAAGCTTTTGTGTAGTTAAAATTGCTGTTAAAAGTAGGTGCTACATCAGCAAGTCTTCATTCATAGTTTTCTATGAACAGCCACCTTACAAATGAGTGCAAATCTTAAAGGTCCATTTTACATTTCAAGTCTCAAGGTTAAAAAAAAAATTGTTACAGAGCAACAAGCTGTTTCTGTAAATGCCCACGCTATCTCTTTTCAAATGGTTAAAAATGGCATGTGCTATGCCACAGCTACTAAAAGACATTTCAGAAGTCTAGACCCAACTAAAACACTAAACTAAAAACTAGAAACCAAAATACCTTTGCCCCTTGCTGCAGAGCAGCAACCAGGTGCTTTCCGTTGTAATGCTGGTGAACAAACTGATTTACAGAGAGAACCTTGGCCTGAACCCCGGTTTTATTCTTAGCGAGGGGCTTTCTAGCGCGACGCGAGCAGGTACAGCCTCTCTGAGATCGTTTTGCTTTCAATGCACACAAGCCAGAATTCCCAGGATGAAATGGAGAGGTGCTGAATTTGTGTCACTATGCAGGCACTTGTGTAGAGGAATGTAGGCTTCTCATGTTGACACTTAGTGTTGACACCTTCCCTGCTCTCTAAAAGCTTCCCTAAGAGTTCGCTACCCTACCGACCACGAAGAGTTCCTGGTCTCCTCCCCACCACCTCGCAGATAGACAGCAGTGGAGTTTGACACAAGGTGCAAAGGAGAATATGAGCCAAATACTGTAGTCTTGAGGACAAAAATACAACTGTGCTAAATGTAGGATCTTCACAGAAGGTGACATCAGTGGGCTCAGCACTTAGTTTGCATAGCATAGTGATGTCTTCGTTTTTCACAAATATGTTGCCCAGAAAGAAAACAGGTAGAGTGAATTCCTGCTGCTAGGACAGATTAATGGGCCAACATGACTACTGCGGATTTCATGAAGGCAAGGCGAGTTTAAACATCGGAAAGTACAGAACTAAAAGCTGTGCTTCTATCCACACGTACTGACAAGGGGCAGTGCTTGGGATAGAGCTGCTTTGAAAACGTGTTCGCTCTTGGCAGTAAAATGGTGACAGCTCTTCCCTGAAAGAGCCTGGTAGGAGCGCACACGTGGTTCTTCCTCTTGAAGGAAGCTTTGTGAGCACCTTTCATATCAAAAACCGGATAATCTGCCCACCTGATACCGGTAATGAGTTGCTACTACTGCCCTGCTGTGCATTATGGTCATTCTGTGCAGCAAAATGAGTCTGAAAAGCAGTCACTACGTTACTGTCGGGAAAAAAAGCTTTTTTTTTTCCTGTAAAGAACACAAATCAGTAGGAGTTTCCCCCCCGACAATAATGAGGATTTCGCAATTCTGACTAAGGAACCAATGTGGTGTGCTTTCGGAAGAAAAACCCTGCGCGTGAAATCAGTGAGACCGTGACATGAAGAGCAGCAAAACCTAGCAGCAGACACGGTGCCAGTTTGGAGGTGCTGACGCCGGGGTACGCGGTACTTCCAAAAGCAGCCGGCCCCAGGCAGGCATGTGTCGAAGGCACATGGTGCGAGGGAGGTGGGTGCTGAGGAGTACCCCGGAGCTGCCCGGCCTGCAGTTTGTCACACTCATCGGACAGGAAACATGAGAAATCTCTGGCGTGAGCGCACAGCCTCAGGAAGTGCGGTGATGTAAACTCTGAGCATGTTAATGACTTGTGGATTTTGGCAACAGACTCGGTATCGTATAAAAATAATGTTTAGTAAAAAAATCCCGGTGTCCATCATAGAAATTCAGGAAAAAAAAAATTGATAGCGATTTCTGTCCTCATGGGATGACGATGCCCCCATTTGTCAGAAACAGTTTTAAATAACAAGTAGTACATTGGAAACAAAAATGGGTCAGCAGCCATTAAACGTGTCCTATATGAAAGTGCACATCTTTCAATGGAGTTTAACCACCATGAGGTCGTGATCTAACACAAACTGCAACTTAGGACCATAGAAATTAACTCCTTCCGATGGAAATATGGACCACCATCAAGACAAGATTACTATTTTCCTTACAAGATTAAAAACATTGAAATTTTGCAGCATCATAGTAAGGCACTCACCCATGGAAAAGTCTGTGACTGTTGCTTCAAGTGGCAGCAGCTAACTAGCTTTTAACACGAGGAAGACAGTTTTCAGTTCTGAGCTAAGTGCTAGGGTGCCTTACATTATATGGGGGGAATTATTCGGGGGCGGGGAACTGTTAGTGTTAGAATTCTCCTATAAACTAGTTGTTTTTCCCCCTTAACCCATTAAAGCATCTCATATTCTAAAATATTAGTTTTATAAATCTAGTCTTCTGTTTTAAGGCTCTAAAAATCCCCTCCCCCCAACCCCCACAAAAAATACCTACCAGCGCCTGGTGGGCAACGGAGGACCAAATCCGCCATTTCACAGTCAGGAGTCTATAGTATTGCATCTTAAAAATGAAAACCTGCTTCCGCC